CCCTCCTGGAACAGAGACCACGATGACACGGCATCAACGCGCTCYGGGGGAACCCCCGGACCATCCAGCGGAGGACACACATCACACAGCGGCGACAACAGCAGTGAGCAAGGTAGGAACAGAGCCCTCACACTTTCTTAGCTGGCAAATGGTCACCAACATGCTCAGGGACTGGTTACTCTCTTTCTGATGTGGAAATATGCTCGGGTGCTAGGGGGTTTGTGCTGAGAAAGGTCTGTCTTCCTTTGTTTTTACATTTTTTTCCTCCATCCCCTCCTAGTAAAGGGATTGGCATCTTTATTTCTTCGAYCCTGCCAGCAGGCACATGTTAGAGCAACATATGTACCAAATTTGCAGTGTGCTTAATAAAAAATAAGAAATGAGAAGGTTGGGGTATTTTTTTCTTCGTTCAAATGGGTTAAAAGATGAAATCTTCAAAACCAAATGTAATTAAGRTTGCAGAAATGCATGCTAATATTTCAAAGATGCCATCGAAACTTGCTTGCATATAAAGATGTTAGTTGGCCCATTTTACAGAGTCCTGAGCCGTACTTTTACTTACTTTTTTATACTCAATTCCAATTTACTTGAATGCAAAAATGTTCTGTTTGAGTGCCAGGCTGGAGTAGCTGATTTAGCAGGGTGAGAATGAAATGAGCTTGGTGCAATGGAAGTGGGGCATTCTACAAATAATCAGTGCTGTCTCAGAAACTCTGAAGTCTAAAAAGCTGAATCTCTGGATTTTTTTTTTTCTGAGACGCAGAAAGCATATTTTTTTCTGAAGAGACCAACTGCAGTGGATTTAGTGTTAATTTAATGCAATTAAAATTTAAAAAGTATCCTTAATCTGAATATAAAAGAGAGTGCTTTATTGAAGTTGACTCTGAACTCACAATAGGTATATACTTTTAAATCTGGTTTTATGATCATGTTTCATTCAAGTGCTGTTAGACAACAAAGGAATTGTGTTTCCAAAAAAAGGTTGAACAGTACTGATTAGCATTGCAAAGTCTCCATTTAACAAGATTAGTTTTTAAACTAAACCAGTATATTTTAATTTTTTATATGCATGGACTTAACGTACATAGTGAATAACATCTCTTTATAGAATTTTAAGTATTTGAGACTCGTTATTGTTTAAAGAAAAGTTGCTGACTTCATCGTAAGTGTAGCCTAGTAAAAATGGGGCCTGGAATAGTAAACTGTTGCAGAGCTGAGGCAGAAAACTGGTAACCTTCTGACCTCTGACTTTTACTGGAAAATGATATGCAACATAAATTCAGGGGGCCTTTTTTCTTTCAAGTATGTATACATATATATTCTAGTGGTGCTGTTCACAATGCTATAGTTGAAGTGGTGTCAACTTGTTCATTAGAGCCCCTTGCTTTTGGAGCAAACTTTAAATCCATGGGGTTTTCTTAAGGGTGAAAAAGCTGCTTCAAAAMTAGGCTTTGAACTAAAACATGGTGTTTTGAGAGGGTTTTTGTGTTCGGTTAGGGCTGCTCTTTTATTAGACGGATGTGCGTGTGTTTATGTGTATATGTGCGTGGACAAAACATCTGTGAGGAGGCTTGCCAGAATGCTCCTAGACCGTGTTGGAAATTGAGCTTAGTTCCTGGTGTACTTCTAAAGATTTTCAGGCTTCATTTTCTCCTAAATGTGCCAATTTAGTTGCCTGGCRTGCTGGTCATGTCTGATATCTTAYTGCCATCCTGATCAGTTCCTAGYAAGGTGCATGCTGCARCCTCGGTCAGGATGTGAGTTTCAAGCCTGAGTCCTATTAAATATCTACAGAAGGACTTGTCAGTGAAGCTTTAGTCAGTTCTGAAACTGTTACCCAAATCCCAGTGGTTTATTGAGGCTGGAATTGCTGCCAGTGCTTGATAGTGTTTTGTGCGGTAGGCTCATTGCATTAAACTTTGGAAAAAAGTTACAAAAATGGGAATTTGATAACTGGAGCTCTCAGGTCRAGGTTGGAAAAGGACTTTTGGCAAAGACATCCTGTCCCAGGGGGTCTCTGTTACCAAGACCTGCCTTGGGGCCACTTGCCACCAATGGAAATAGCTTTGTTTTTGAGGAACAGGAATGTGGGAAGGGTAGCAGTGGTCTTGCTGAGCCTTGCTTTATGTCTTGTTTACATGAAATGCTCTGAAAGTTGAGATTATGGGAGAAGCTCATTTGTTTAAGCACACCCATGCCTGCATGTACACCTTCTGTAAAAAAACCTCCCCCCCCAAAAAAAAGTGATTTTAGTGTTTCCCTATGGGGAAGAAGTAAAAAAATACAACCCCAAAGGACCAAAATGGAAGAGAAACAAAAAGATCGCAAACATCCTGCCTCTCCCCAATKGCATTTAATTTCCAAATGCTGTGATTTGGTGGCTTTCTCCTATGGCCTGATGTTAGGGGTGCAAGCCTGTGGTTAAACTCTTGTGTTCACCACTGCTGGGTGCTTTCCTTGGCAGCAGAAGGAGCCAGCATGGCACTGCCACAGCAGCCAGGTGCTGCGGAGGGGTGGCAGCAAAAGGCTGGGGACCCACATGCTCGTGCTTGCAGGCACAGRAGTTAACTCGAGATGCATGCGTTTCGTGACATATATTCAGTATATTATGGGCTTCCCTATTTATAGGAGTTTGTAAAAGTTCCTTTTGGTTCCATCTGTCAAGATCACGTTTGCCATTTAAAAAAAAAAAAAAAAAGAGCAAATCTGATCACCAGAAATAAAACACTCTAAAACTGTCTGAGTTTAGGCTGTTCTCACAACCTACTTCCCTTGTTGGRGTAGGTGAAAGCTTCTGGGCCAGTTTGCAACCTGGCTGGAAGTATCACAAGGATGTGAATGTAAGCTCTGCATTTTCAGGGGGGCACACAGACTGGAAAGCTTAAGCCCTATAGCAAGATTTTTCTCCTTAGTTGTTAACCCAGTTCTATTTTTGGACTGTTTGGAGATTTTTCTTCTTTACCTTATTCATCACTACAGATCCTGCAAAGTGTGTTTTTAACCTATTTATGTCCCAGTGTAGAACACRTATCGAATGATTGCCTTTGAAATCAGGAGAGGCGCTCTTTCATGTAAACATTTTAAAGTATTTTTTAACATGTAAATTTATTTACTTAGTAAACAGTAATAACCCCCAGCTGCTTCGATCTATTGCAGAAATCCATATTTAACTGCTAGGGAGCTGTTCTGAGGTCTCGTGCCACTGAACAGCRGGATATGTTATTGCATGGTACGTTGACACAACCTCTTCTAAAGGCCTGGTATTGTGTCATCATAGGGGATAGTTATAGTGCAGGAATGCAGAATAATATTATGAAAAAGTTTTCCCATTGCTCTGAACTTAACGAGAAAGGCCTTTTGAGGTCTGTCTCCAAATGGTGCAAAGAGCTGAATTTACATAGTGGAGAAATAATTCCTTAAATTCTGTTTAAAAGAAGAGAAGCAAATTCTTATGTACAGGCAGGTAATGCTGAGCTCATGGCAGCGCTCTTTTATCTTACTGTGTCTTGTAACTTCAAAAGGTTCCTATTTGGGATATTGAAAGATCTATTTTGTTTGTTTTTCAAAAAGTGAGGCCAGAAAGATACTGAACAAAGCCCAGGTACAGTCACTTTTAATCCAGAGTGAAACTCTTTATTTCCCATGTTTAGCTCCCCTACATGGCTTAAAAGAAAAAGAAAAATAATCCATCAGTGTCACCTTATTTATGTGTATTGTTTCTTCCTCTCTCCTTTTTTTTTTTTTTTTTGTTTTTTTTTTTTTTTTGTCCAAGCCTCAACCTATGCTCAAAATATTTTTTTAACCTCCAAATCATTGTTGCTCCTTCAAGCTAGGAGTAGAAAGCAGCGATATTTCTTTATAAAAATGTATCAATGGCTGCAGTGGTTTTTTTTTTTCCAAGCTTTTGTAGGAGTTTGAGCAACCTATAGGCAAAAAGGCAATCGGGTTTATTATTGCTGGGAATCTCCAGGCGGTTGTTTGGAGGCTGCAAAGGCAGGCGGCAGAGCCGGGAAGAGGGGGAGAGAAGGGCCACATTATGTTCCAGATGACTGAGCAAGGATTTATATACCAGCTCGCCTTTTTTTTTTTTTTTTTTTTTTTTTTTTTAACATTGGAGAAGAAAAGTAATAAGAGCGGGGAGGCATTTGAAGCGGTCAGATGGCCGATGACTAATGGGATAGGTGGGCAGGAGCCCTCGGATTGGGTGTCTTAATGAGCACATTTCGCACCGAGTTTGGGCTGCAGTTCCCCTTCACCTTTGCCCTTTATTGACCGAACTGACACTTCATTTTTCACATACTTCCAATTATGGCTGAGCTTAAGTGTCGCCCTGCCTCCTTTCTTTYTTGCGTATGGACGGCTTCAGAGTGGCTGAGGCCACAGAAGATATTTTAATTTGAAAAACTACCATAGCAAGGCAGGTTTAGGGTGTAACCTGAAACTGCTGTCACTTGGCAGTTTCTCCCATGAAAACAAAAGTTTTAATGTTTCTTGTTTTGCGCTTCACTGCCACTCCCCCCCTCTTTCTCTGTGGCGGTGTGGGGAATTGCTTTGGGGGCAATTGGGTTGGCGAGGGGTGTTTTCCTCAAGGTAAATCCTTTCTGGCAGTACAGGTGTCATGGGTGGGAGTCACCCAAGTGAAAAGCAGTACAGTGCTTGAACGATGGCTCCTCTTCGCCTCTCAATGCGGCGTCTTCTCAAATGGCTTCTTGTGATGTGATGCCCTGCAATGTCCTTTGCTGGACATTCTCCTTATGGAAAAGCAAGTTGTAATTGTGCCTGCACATCTCAAGCCTTAGACAGCATGGATTTGTTGTTTTTGTAGTATTTCATACATGAATGCAGATTTGAGCATGGCCGGGCTGTGAAGCTTTGAGAAGTGGCTGCAAATGATGCTGGGAGAGGCTGGTAGATTGAAGGGATGGGCAAATCTGCAGTCACCTCTTTGCTGTGCAAGGGGAACCATGATATATCTCTCCCTGCTGAAGCCTGTGTGCATTTCCACGTTGGCTTTTACATGCAGAATCCTTCCAGGGCGGAAATGTCTGTTTGCTTTCGCAGGGCTTACRGAGTTTCGGAGCATGCGGTTTTCCTACCAAATGTGGATTCTGT